CGCAATAGCTCACGAATATCAACACGAATTTATCCTTTATCGAGTTAGCATTATTTACAAAAAAAAAGCCAGAACAGTATTTGGACCGGCGCGGCGACGTCTTGGCAACACATTTGAGTGATTAAGATCTTCGAAGCGTGTAGTCGAGATAATCTGGCATCAAACCAACGATCCTTTAGTAGAGCTGCAAGAGTGTGCGTATATTGCATTACAGTATTTCAGTAAATACAAGTTTTTGTTAGATATTTTTATACACAACGTCCTGTATCTATCATTTAATTTGTATAATATATATATATTTTTTAAACTATCACCGAATTTGGTGACCGTCTTTAAAGATAGTGTTAAGCTATTCAACAGAAGTTTCCACAGAAGTAGTTAATACTGCAATGGAACATTACTGTGGCTTAAGATAACTGATTACTTAAACCACCATCTAATTTTTCACCTGGATAAAATAAAATAATTTTTTTGTTAATAATAATGAAACCTATTATATGTTCAATATTCTCAGCAGGCCTGACGTGATTACGAAAAAAAAATGACATCACCATCCCTCATCCTTTATATATAAAAAGCATTTTGAGGTCACGAATCAAAATTTGAGGTACATAACAAATTTTTGAGGTCGCGAATACGTATTTTACTCCATCCTTTGTAAAGCAGTGTTAAAATAAAATTGATTATTCGCTCATTAACAAAGCACACTAAAAGTCCGAGTGTAAACTCACCTCAACTTGTTCCTTGTAAACGGAACAAAGCAAAGCTTGTATCACTTTAAACGGAAACGATCGTTCGAACATGTTTACAAGAGCTGATTTTCCACCGATATTGTTCGTTTTAACAGCTAAAGGACACTCGTAAGTTATTGCCTGTCTAAGATACTGCAGACTGGATGTAAGCTGAGGTATAATGTTTTATTGCTTTTAGATATCTATTTTATGGACTGTCTGTAGTTAAAACATTTATAAACTATTTTTTACAGATTTTAGTTATAGTCATAGTCATTTATTCATCAACAAATTACATCGTATTTGAAATTAAAATAATTAATAAAATAATAATAGTAATATTGTTAAAATATTAAAACATAATTGTGTCATCATTAATTATCAGTCATGCAATATCATTAGTATTTTAAAACAGTCATTTTAATATAATATCTAGTAATAATGAAAAAATGTCTAAATAATATAATGTCACTGGTTATCTTACATATATATACATATTTCTGTTTATTATTATAAATCTAATACTTATCATTAAATTAATTTATAAATTATTCTTGGTAGTCAACGTTGACTGCACAGATAGCGTAGTGGTTTAAGCGGTCGCCACGCCGCTTCCTACTGCGCCGAGTGTTGTGGGTTCAAACCCCCACATGGGTCGACACTTTGTGTGATCCACAAATCGTTGTTCTGAGTCTGGATGTTCTTTTTGTCCGTTTCATGTATGTTTGTAAAGTCCCCCGCCACACAGGATATATTCCTGACGCGGGAGTTGTCTTTAAAAAAAAAAAAACTACTTTTAATTATCTTATCATAATGAAATTGCATAATGTCTTTGTCATTTAAATGATAATGATAGTACAAATGTTGGTATAACTGTTGGCTGTCATGGAATCTGTCAATGTCAGCATTTTAGTTTATAGAAACACTCCGGGTCAGCTACCCGGCAAACGTTGTATTGCAAAACAAAAATAAAAAATTAGGGATGGGTCACCCTTACATTTTAGGGGTATGAAAAATAGATGTTGGCCGATTCTCAGACCTACCCGATGTGCACACAAAATTTCATGAGAATCGGTCAAGCCGTTTCGGAGGAGTACGGGAACGAACATTGTGACACGAGAATTTTATATATATAGAAACATTTAATAAATGCTGGCAGTTAGTTAAATAGGTTACCTGTTAGGAACACAGTAATTTCGTGTTTTTTACTAAGCTATAATTATTAAATGAAATTACTTATGAACGGAAACAAACAAAATAAACTGAGAACCGTTACCCATTCCTTATTTAAAGTAAAACAATCATAATATCTGTAATTGCGAATACCGACCAATTCCAGAATTCAATTTCTCCAAACTTCAATGTTCGTATATAAAAACAATTTTCGATTCTTCATAAAATTACACAGTTGGCCAGAAGAATGGGCCAGAAAAAGATTTATGTCTTAATTTTGACAGTTCCATAAGGTTTTCGGGGCGGAATAAATAAGTTATGAGTTATCGTCGCCCGATTGAAGTAAAACTGGTACTTTTAGGAAGTTTCCGTACGATGTAGGTACTCAAGTAAATATTTACCTACTTACGAAAGATTTTTTTTTGTCTATTATCTGATATTTGTGAAAAAGTAATTTATTTGAACATAACACGTTGGAGAACCATGCTTGGGTATAAATGGCCCGGATCGACCGGAGTGACATACCGTGTGGTTTCAGTCGGTTCGATTCCGATATACCACCCCACCACAAAACGTGGTGGGGTGACGGCCCGAGAAGGTTTCCACATGAAAAAAAAAACTAGCTGACTGATAATAAATCTAATCTGATATTTTTAATGTTACTGTATTGTCTTAGTACGTACAGAAGGGAACTTGTTTTATTATAAGGTGCTTTGCAAATCGAAGAGACACTAAACGTTACCTCATTATTATACTCGTACAACCATTATAACATGTAGCTGGTAGTAATTATTTTACATTTAGTTCTTCTAAAAATGATCATGTAAATCCTTTCTCAGAATACACAATAAGTAATATATTTGGCAATTTATAAGAATAACACTTAGGGCCAATTTTTCAATCCTCAGATAAACAGTTAGATAGCATTTATTAAACAGTTAGCGTTATTTTGGATTTTCAATGGTCAGATAGCTAGCTAGCTTAAATCTGAGGAATAACTTTATTTGTAGTTTCACGCCTCAGTTAGTGATATTATCTGTGGAATAGTGATTTTGACTTTGTGTATTTGTTTACATTCTCTAATATTTGCTGCAGGAAAGTTTTTTATACGTTGCCCTTATTGAGTATTTTTGCTGTGTCCTGAGAGGAAAGAAAGGTTCTTAGATAAAGTTATGACAATACTTTGTGATGTTGTGACAATAATTTAATTAGGTACAAGTTATTAGTTATTTCTAGTTTGGAACTAAATGGCGTTGTGTGTATGTGGTAGAATATATTATATAATAATATTAGCAAATGCAAGTTCTCGAAATTTAATGCTCGTTTTTTAATTGATTCTTGAGCATATTATTACTATTTCGTATAAAAATACGAAATAGTAATAATATGCTATACCACATTAACACAACGCCATCTAGTCCATAACTAAGAGCTCAGAGCTTGTATTATGGGTACTAGACAACTGATATAAATACCTACACTATTATACTATATATATATACTACACTATATAAAAATAATATACATATAAACACCCTGACCAAATCTAAAAATTACATATAGTTATTGTTCGAATGGAGCGGGAATCGAACCCGTGACCTTTCAAGTAGCAGTCCGTATGCAAACCACTACACCATAGTTCCCCGTCACTACCATCGTCAATAAGGTTGTTTTATTATCTGCGACAGGCAATGTCAAGAAAAGAATGACACAAATGTGACGTAATAGCTTATGATCCTTATCTAACGTGATACTAACTGTATAACTGCATCTCGTTTGCGCATGTTTACCGTGAAGGTAGCCATGAAAGACCATCAAGTAACTATCTGTCGTTTTACACCCGATTGAAAAACAGAAAAAGTTTATTCGCTTGATAAATAGCAAGATAAATTTATTCCCAAGTAAGTTGTCTGACAGTATAACTGAGGATTGAAAAACCGGCCCTTAATTTAATAAAACATCTTGGATAAGAGTTGAACTCAAAATAAAATAAACTCCTTGAGGAAAGAGATACAATTTATAATGCTTTCTCGAGTTGTTGGTACTTTATTGCGTAGTTTAAAGTATACAATTCGGTATATTGTATCTCGAATTTTAAAAAATCTTGAGGATATAGACTGTTAAATATCGTATTTTCACATCAAAGAAATAAAAAGTATGAAAAGAGAAAGAAAAATATAAAAAAGGAAGTGAGTGACATATAATAGCAGTAGAACACAAATGAAATTTCCTTTTTTTTCACATTTCTAAAACTACTACACGTGTTTTCATTTAGTTATCAGAGAGGGAAATATAAGAATCAAAGAAAATTGTGTTAATAAAAATTTTAGTCATTTTCAAATATTTGCGATTTACTTTAAAACTATTGTTATAGAAGTATAACTTATATTATTTACTAGCTGACCCGGCAGACTTCGCACTGCCTCAATCGATAAATAAAAGACCTTAACTTTTGTATAAATTAATTTCAAAACAAACAAAACGTATTGAATAAAAAAGCATTTTTAATCAAATTTTATTATTATTTTCGATACATCATGTTGCTTATTTAAAAAAACAGAGTTTTCCTGAAATACTGGCTATTTATAAGGTTTAAATTTTTATTAACAGACACACACTGTTATGATACAGTTTGTTAATCAATTTAAAGCTTTCTCATAAACTATTTTTATTTTTGTTTTGTGGTGCGTAAATAAACAAAGAAGACGGTTTTCCGAAGTGCGAACACGCGACGTATAATTGTCCATGCGCGAAACAGGGAAACTCCAAGTTGATTCCGCAAACTTCTAAAGACTGTCCTTGCGATTTATTTATTGTCATCGCAAAGGCCAGACGTACTGGAAACTGTAAGCGTTTAAAATCGAATGGTAAATCCGTTGAAATCATCGGTATTCGCGGGATCAAGACATCCTCTCCTTTGTATTTTCCTTTTATGATTGTTGCCTCAATGACGTTATTCATCAGCTTTTTCATAGCCAGTCTTGTTCCATTGCATAGTCGAGGTTGATTAATGTTACGCAGCATGATGACAACTGATCCTACTTTTAACTGCAAATTGTGAGGTGGTAATCCAGGCAATTCCAGTGAAATTAAAAACTATGTGGGATAGTTGACTACGTCATCCTGGTTCATAACGGTGTCGACTGATTTGAAGGAAACCAACTGTCCTGGAAGAAAATTCTGAATGGTAGCATTGAGATCCTCGACATCTTTATTTTTCGCTGCCAATATTGCTCGTTCACCCAGCCAATTATGGTTATTGAACTTTTGCGCTATATCTGGGAAAACACGCTGAATAAGCTCCTCTTTTGAATCTGTGATGTGACAGAAATCTGTGGGTAATGTGATGAATCCGGTCGAGGTGTCCATTGCAACTTTATTATTTCCAATATCTAACAACTGCTTCGCAAACACATATGCAGTTTCATCATGTTGCAAAAATACTCGCATGTTAGTTGTTAATTGGAGTGTCTTTACGTACTGCCACAAATTCGATGATTTTAGGCATGCATTTAGTTCATCAGCAACAGTTGATCGGGGAATAACTGGAAGAGTCTGACGAAAATCACCTGACAACAGAATCATGGCCCCACCAAAAATATTTTGGTTGTCACGAAGATCTTTCAATGTTCTGTCCAGCGCCTCCAGTGACCTCTTATGGGCCATTGTGCATTCATCCCAAACAATTAATTTACATACCTGTAGGATCTTGGCCATTGCGCTATTTTTGGCGATGTTGCAAATTGGTGTTTCGGTGATTTGCATGTTTAATGGTAATTTCAAGGCAGAATGCGCAGTTCGTCCGCCTTCTAGCAGAGTCGCAGCTATTCCAGATGAAGCCAACGCTAGAGCAACATCATTTCGCGATCTGATCCTCGCCAAAAGCAATGAAATTAAAAACGTTTTTCCGGTTCCTCCGGGAGCATCAAGGAAATAAATTCCACCAGATACCAGTGTATTCACAGCTTCTATCAAAGTGTCGTACGCAATTCTTTGTTGTTGATTTAATTGTGGAACATTTGTAAGAACTGTTTCGGCCAATGCTTCAATGTCGTACTGTTGTTCCCTTTGCAACTCGTGGTTTAATGCATCGTGCATGTGATGATGTGATGATGTGCATATAACGATTGGGTGCTGTCATTCCCAAACACGACAATACTTTATTTGCTATCAATAAACACATATCTTCTATCATGATCAATGTCTCATTGTAAATTTCTTCAGTCATTTGTAGTGTAGGATTCAAAGTTTCAAGGCGAACATGATGCAAAACATCCTCAGACATGTCATCTCTATACTTAACCCACAAATCTTTTGGATCCGAGGGGAAACATGTCGATATGATAATCGCAAACAATGTACGAATTTCATGCGGCGATGAAGATATTACGGAATCCTTGAGCGTATCATCCCAGTGCGAATCGTTCTCAAGTAAATGTAAAGAGCACACTACTTGGAATGTCACTATCACAAAGGATCACAAAAGTAAAGAAAGTTCTCGTGCACGTAGCGGTAATCGTCACTCACAAAGATAGAAGGATGCACTCATAGAATATCGTAACCATGATCGTAACACAATATCGTCAATCGTAATACTTTTTTCCGTGTTCTGATTTTTTTATTTATTTTTTTGGAGTTTACCTTTAAGCCATAAATCTCCGTGTTCTGAAGTGCGACAGAATGATTGACATATTAGTTGGTTGTCAAATCTAATGTCAAATATTATGGTTGTGTTCAGAAACTTAATTTGTGACAAAACTTAAGATTTATCAAACTTAAAAAAATAACTGATACAGTTACAACTGAAGTTAGCTAAAATAAAGTTTCGCGAAGCCGACCAAATTAATTGGAAATCAGTACTACTAATAGTTTATTACATTTTTTGTCGCGTTCGCGATTCACTTTTGTTTATTTTCGGAACGCGACATTAGATCCTCCAAAGCGCACGCGAAGACTATTTTCATAGATATGATTGAATTTGAACTTTATGCAGCGGTAATAAATTGCAAATTGACTCTTTGACGTTAGGAACACACCTAAATTGCTTAGACAACAGTAAATGATTATAATTTAATATGAACTTTATTGAATAGCAATAAAGTTCAAATTGACTCTAGAAAACGTTTGTATGGGAAATAGAAAAGGGCTGTTTTTAGGGATTTCCCGGAAATTATTCGATTTTTTCTCGCCTTTTAAACCTTCCCTGGACCTCCACGAACATTTCAAGACTAAGATAAGATAAATCCGTTCAGCCGTTCTCGAGTTTTAGTGAGACTAACGAACAGCAATTCATTTTTATATATATAGATAGATTTAGATTTATAAATACAATAATAATATAATATATATACCTAACACATCTCACACACGGCCGTCTGATCCCAAACTAGGCAGAGCCTGTTCTATGGTAACCAGATTGCTGATAAACATAATTATATATTTTTAAGTACTTACATATTATAGATACATTACACCCAGTCACAGAACAAACGATCGTGCTCATCACACAATATTTGTCTTGGGTGGGAATCGAACCCACGACCTCCGGCTTAGCAGTCAGGGTCACTAACTACTAGACTAACAGGCCCTTCAATTGTTGCAAGATAATTGTTACTCAAAAGGCGGACGGACTTATAACTCTCGCGTTGCAGGTTTTCATGGACGACGGTAGTCACTTACCATCAGATAACCCATCTGCTCGCCAACCCTTTACACCACATACTTATATCACTCTAAACCACACATCTCACACATCCACAGTCTTTAATAGTCCACTGCTGGACATAGGCCTCTCTTTAGAAAGGAGGTTTTGGTCTACTATACCACGCTGGCCAGACGGTTTGTGTCAAGTTTTCTTTCTCTTTGCAGTGCGAGGAGTCCCACGGAGTGAATAGGGGCGGTGACACTCAGTATTCTTCATCCGTTACCACACTTTATACCAGTATAAAACAAACATTAAATTTTTGCACAGATAGAGTAGCAGTCACAAGTATTCTCTAAAGTTGTAAATTCTAAAAAGTAAATTTCAATAACAGTTTTAGTAATAAATTCAAAGGAAAGCATTTAATTTACACGTAGATAATAATAGTGCCAAGTGACACACGTGTTTTTATCGCACACAAATAAAATTAGAAATAATTATAAGAGTCATAGCCACAAAGGCACGTTAACATATTAAAATCAATTTGGTCCATAAACCGGGTACTGGCCTTGTGATGACGTTTAAAAATTTCATACGTATAACAATATTTCCCTGGAAACCGGACAGTGGAAGTTAATGTGATTGTGTGTAAAGCATGAATTTTTGAATTCGAAATTTAAATGTTTAGTATTACATAATTTAAGTAATATAGTATTATGGTATAGGAAGCAAAAGAGCAAACTGGGTGGGATTTATATTCCGGTTCCGGTTTATATAACGGTAAGAAGCAACAAAATAATAGCTTCATACCGGTTTTGTGTGTGGCCGTGGTATCACGAGCAGGCCCATTTGATAATAGTAATAATATTTTCGGACATCTAATACACATCATCAGCCTAATCTAATACACAACGCCATGTATTTTAAATCTAAGCAGAGCTTGTACTATGAAAGCTAGATTGACTGATAGAATACTTACATACTTTTTTTTTGTAAATACATACATATTATACATAGAAAACACCAAAACTCCGAAACAAATATTTGTGGATCCTACAAATATTTGGTCCGTCCCGAGCATTGAACGCGAGACCTCAGCATGGCCGTCGCATACGCTACCACTGCACCACCGAAGCACTCAAAATGATATTGATGATTATGATACTTTGATTCACAGTCAGCTTTTTTTGCAATTTATGCTGAAACATAGCTCTCACGCGAAACATCTTTCTGCAATTCTCCAAACTCATTTTGGGGTTTTCGTAATTTACAAAAGGGTTCTGCCTTATCCGACTCTCCTTGGGAATATACTCAGAGAGGACAAATGAAAAGGTTCTATTGAGATAAGGACCACGAGTTGGGCGTGAGGCTTGAGAGAGTAAGGGATACCGATTTAACAAAAATACACATTTTGTCAACTGCAATTTTAATCAAGGAACATGTCTATTACTGTCAATCAGGCACGTAAATTACTAAATCCGTACTAATATTATAAAGGCAAAAGTGTGTCTGTCTGTCTATCTATTTCTTAGGTATAAAGATAGTCCGAGTCCCGGGAATGGACATAAGATAGTTTTTATCTCAGAAATCATCCTTTAAGGAGTAAACCCTTTTCACCCCGTTTATGGATGATTTAGAATTTGGTAATAGGAATCAATAACCGTTCAACTGATTCAGATGAAATTTGTTATGGAGAAAGACAAAGGCTAATTTTTATCGCAATAACCAACATTTACGCGGGTGGAGCTGCGGGCAAAAGCTAGTAACATATAAATTATCGGTAAACGTATTACACCCAAAATCAGAACAGACGTTTAAGCTATTTTTCAAGGAGCTCCACCAGAGTGATGTCACGTCCTTACCTTACCTTACTTACCAGTGTTAAGTAACTCTTTCATAGTTTTTCACTAAGTCAATAAGGTTACCGGAGCCCAAAATTTCCCTCCCGTTGATTCTGGGGGAAGGGGACTCAAAAGGCGGCACTTTTGACTCTTGAGTTGAAGGTGTTCATGGTCGGCGGTAGTCACTCACCATCAGATGCCCCGTCTGTTCGTTTGCCACGTACGCCATGAAAATAAACGATAATGCTTATCACACAATATTTAACCTGGGTGGGAATCGAACCCACTGTCTCTGGCTTAGCAATGATTGAAGATTAACAGGCCTGTCCAGCCCTGAATAAAAGTTTTGTGTTACAAGGATATAAAAAGTTGAAAAACATACACGATTATAATTACGTATGAACCGAATTTATAGTCTCCTTAAATGGACATGTGATACTTGGGATTTGAGAGATTTACTAGAAATTAGCAAAATCTATTGAACTAAGACTAACACGACTGCTTCGGTGGTGTACGTGACTGCTGTGTTGAGGTCTCGGGTTCGATGCCCGGGTCGGACTAAATGTTTGTATGATCTGCAAATATTTGTTTCGGAGTTTGGGTGTTTACTATGTATCATATGTATGTATTTACAAAAAAAGTATAAAAGTATTCTATCAGTCAATCTAGCTTTCATCGTACAAGCTCTGCTTAGGTTGAAACTACGAGTAGATGGCGTTGTGTGTCAGATGTCCAAAAATTTCATTATTAATATTATATATTTATTTGTCACATTTTCAGAACACAAAAAAGAACATAAGTTCATTCAAAAATAAAAGTTTTGTTTCCTAGAAACTATTGTCCAAAGCTAGTGGACGATATGTTGTTCCGTACTACGGTTTTAAATGGATAGTTCTCTGTTATACGGCTGTAATCTCTGATTTATACTCGTATGTGCTTTTATTGTTTTAGTCCCTTCCGATAAAACCCGACTGTGATGGTCCAGAGACATAAATCTCTTATCAGACTATATTACTTCAGTAGTTTTGAAATGTTTTTGAAACGAATTGAAAAGATTAGGTTAGAGGCTCTTAAAACGAATCAACGAAGGTTGACAGTACTGTGTTTTGTTTATCTAGATATTGTTTTTCATCTTGTACATGTATTAAATTTAAAAATATACAAATTCTCACGCTCATTTTGCCGAAGGGATAGGCAGTAGCGTCTGAAAAAGCCAAATTTTGCCAACTAATTATTTTTGTCCCACTTGGGCTTTAGAAATTAGATGAAAACTTGAGGCTTTAATATGAGAGAAAGAGTAGATATGAAGGGAAGGCAATGGGAGCAAAGAACCTGATTGAGCAGTGGTCAGGGTCTAGCCGTTGCCAGAAATAATAGCCATTTTCTAACCTTAAATAGAAACAATCAAAACGTATTAGGGTAGAAAATAAGAAACGAATAACGTTTTTTTTACATTAAATTCATTTTTTTGTTAAATTTTCCTACAAATCTCAATCTAAAACATAATATTTAATCCCATGTTTCTAACAAAGTTCATCTATTACGACAAAATGGCAACCTTTCTTAACTCGAAGATAAAAAGTTAGTTTCGTATCGCTACCATTTATTTTAAGGTT